GTCTGACCTTTGCGTTGTTGTGCAGGGCATGGTGATGGTGAGCCCGGAAATGAACCCCACCATCTGCTCAGTGTTTGAAGCCGAGATCGTGCTGTTGTTCCATGCCACAACTTTCCGGAAGGGGTTTCAGGTGACAGTGCATGTGGGGAATGTGCGACAGACTGCTATCGTAGAGAAGATCCATGGAAAGGTAGGCATGGGAGTAAATGGGAGGAAGATGGACCTCCCTGTGGGGCTTGTTGGGATTCCATCATGGCTAGGGGCTACTGGTATCTTGAGCCACTGTGTCCCTTTCTAGGAGCACACTCCACCCCTTTATCCTGCCCATTTTGTTGATTTTCCTCTCAACATGTTAAAGAATTCCCTCCTCACAAAACGAACCACATGATGGACTACAGCAAGCCTGTGAAGGAATGTGAACTCTCTATTCTCCAGAGTTTGTGTCATCCTGTCTCCCCCTATGTGTACAATAACGGGAAGAACTCAAGCCGTGCTGTCTGAGGGAGGCAACCTCCTCATTTGCCTCATCTTAGCATCCACATGCACCTCTCCTGCGTGCAGTGGTGTGGTAGATGGGTCTAAGCTCCTTCCTTTGTCTCTTCAGGACAAGCTGCGGACAGGAGAGAAGGCAGTCGTCCGTTTCAGGTTCATCAAGCATCCTGAGTACTTGAAGATTGGAGCCAAGCTGCTTTTCCGGGAAGGAGTCACCAAAGGCATCGGGCATGTCACCGACCTCCAAGCCATCACCACCAAAGAAAATGGCCTGGAGGAGTCCCTGGGGCCTGGACAGCTGAGCTTTTGACTACCACTAGGTCAGAGAGATCTCCACTCACCAGCAACCGGGGAGAAGGATGGAAGCTCCCATGGCTTTGAGTGATGCCTGGAGCTGCTGCTGTCCCATTCTGGCATCAGTGTCCCTCCTGTGCACTGTGAGATGGAGCCTGGGAGAGTTTCTCGGGTTCAGTGCCGTACATGGGGCAAGTTAAGCATGTTCTCCACATCGCCTGCAGCTTTCATTACCCTGCCCTCCTTCAGAATAGATCAGAGGCACCTGCAGACCTGGGCAGGCAAGTTCTGGCTTTGTTTACTGTTTGAAAATTACTGGTTGGGAAGGGCAGAGCCCCTGAAAACTAGCAGTGAAGGGATGTTTTTCCATCTCTGACACAAGATCTGGTCCCATTTCTGCTCTCCGAGCACTGGGTTGATAACAGTCCTCTCTCGGATCATCCTGCAGCACATCCCGGTGGGCAGGGGATGGAAGAGGCCCTGCTACCCAGAGCAGGCACTTGGTTTAACCTCTCAAAATGCATTCAGGACACTTTTTAACTCTTTTAATCTTGGTTGGCTTTAATCTGCTGTGTGTCCATTTGTGTGTTGGTTTTGTATTACTCTGATCTGAGTGTCTTACTGTTGGACAAGTGTCCTGTTCCCCACTCACACGTACGCGCTCCTTCAGCATCCCGCTTTCCAACTCCCGGGAAGCTGTGGCTGCTCAGAGTCTCACAGCCTTCTGATGTAACGGCATGAAGGCAGAGTCTGCACTTGAATCTGTTCCTTGAAGCAGCTGGGCCGGAGGCTGCTCTGTGGAGCAGAGTGGGGCCTGGGCCTGTGCTGTTGTGTGCAGGTTATTTCCATGAAGGTTCGGCTGACAGCGTCATCTGCACGTTGGCAGCAGTGGTGTTGCGGTGGGCTCCCTAGTGGGGCTGTTCCAGGCCCTAGCCCAGCTTGCTCCTCACACTCTTGCCTTAATGTGTGAGGAGGACAGGCTGTGTTACTACCACAAAACCAGGTGACTTCTGTTTAGATGTGATTTGACAGTGGTGTGATTTTATTTCTGTTTCTCCTGGAGGAAGAATTATTTTTTTTCACTTGCCGCTGGGGTTTGTTGTCAGAGGAAAGCTGATGTTGCCAGCAAGGATTCTGTGCATGAAGAGTGGAGCACATTCGTCTCCCACTCGCTGTTGTGCAGCTCCCCTATGTAGCCTGGAGGGTGCAGCAGGGGATGTATAGCTGTACATAGGCTTTTGGTTTTATTGTTGACTGTTAGACCAAATGTGTCTGCTGTGAGCAACAGGCCTTCAGTCAACCCCAACTGAAGGGAAGGGTGGCAAGGCCCTGTGATAGCACTTGGATGCCCAAACAGCCCTTCTGCCATACTGAGAGCAACTTCTGCATCTGGGCTGCTGGCATGGGCAGTGCCTGCAGGACTGAGTGGCCATGCTGGTGTGTGGATGTCGCAAAGCGACTCTGTCCGCTGGGCTGGGCTGGGCTCTAGCAAGTGGGGAGGTGGCAGCTGCACCCTGCAAAGAGCACACTGAGGTGTGGTGAAGCCGGTGAAATGAAGGGATTCAAACTCAGCTCAGCAGTGACAGGAGTGACCTGTCCCTTTGGGGGAAACACTGACCCAGCTGAAAATCTGCTGCTTCCCCATCAGCCCAGCAGTGAGACTGGCTCAGGGTCGCTGCTCAGGCGGGATCACTCTTTCTTCCTGTCCTGGCAGTGGTCCGGGTGATACAGTGATGTGGTCTTTCAACCATGCCTACAAGGACAGGCCCAACTGCCAGCAGGCTCTCCCCTTTGGTGCTAGTGGCTCACAAAGAAAGCTGCATGGGGGTGGGGGGACTCCAGCTGTTTGCAGCAGCCCTGGTGTTTTCTGCCCCAAAGCGGGCATGGGGTGCTGTGACCTCTGAAATAGCTGATGACTGGTCTCACCTCATCTCTGCCAGCTGTGACATGACTGTTCTTGGTGCCATGTTCTTCATAATTGCTGTTTTGTTGTCTTGAATTTTTCTAATGCTGGGGCTTGTCTCTGTTCCTCACGCATCTATATATAAATGTACAGAATAAAGATGTTTTATTGAGCTTGCTGGGTTAGTTGTACCATGAGGGAGGGTGGAGCTGGGCTCTTGCCCTGCTGCCCTTGAAGCTGGGTCAGGGTTGGAGATGGCTGCTCTTCACCCCTTCCTGAGCTTCCTGCATTCAGCCCTATAAATACCGTCTTGTGGCGGGGAAGGAATGCACCCACGCTTCTGTTTACAACTGCGCGCTCCTGGCTTATCTGAGCGAGCCTGTGTGTGCAGCCCGGGGTGATGGGCAGCCACGTCACCCTGAGCACAGCACTTCAGGCTGGCATGGGTGGAATGTGCTGAGGTGCTTCCTTGCAGCCACAAATTCCCCCAGAGCCTAATCAAAGGAATGCTTTCTAGGGCACACATCTAACTGGTGGTTTGTTTTTAAAATAGCTTTGACATTATCAAGGGGGTTGCGACTGCCTTCTTTCCATGAGAACAGGTCCCTTGGGACAAGCAGAGGCAGAAGGGCTTCCCTGTGGAGGTGACTTGTGTCACTGAAGGAATTTGCCTGTTCTCAACTTGTTTTTGTGTCAGATGGTGGCATCTGCTGAGTCCGGTCCTTCCAGACACTTAGGAAATGAGACGTGTCACCGTCACAGGTGTGAGGCAACCCTGCCAGACTGGTTGCTATTTCTCTTTACATGAGGACTTTTGGGAAACTTGTCACTTTACAATGTGAGGACTGTCATTATTGGGAGTGACTCTAATTCCTTCCTCTGCTGATTACCAGCAGAGCGGCACGCACCAGAATGAGCTTGTGCTTCCTGAAATCTCCCAGCTGTGTTGTCAAGTATTAGACCCACACTGACAGCAGTACAGTGGCTCCTCACCACAGGCTGGCCGCTGGGAGCAGAGCAGCTCCACAGCTGCAAGTAGGATGGTGCAGTTCAGAAAAGAAGGGGAAATAGCACAAGCAATACAGCTGCACTTTGCATCATTATCTGCTGCCTGAAAGGCTCCCACTCCCTGCTTAGGGAGGGGAAGCCTGCAGCTGATGAAACACTCTGCAAAGTGTGTTCCCAAACCCCACCCAGTGGTGCCTTGACGTGGCACCATCCTCCCCCCTGCCCTAAGTGCTCAGTTCAAAATTATTGGCAGCAGCACTCCTGGAAGAGGCCAGCAGGCACCAGGCAGCTGGCAGTGTAGTACAGAGCCAAGCCCTGCTGGCCAGCAGAGAGCAGGCCCATCTCTTGCCCTCAAGCCAGTCTTACCCTCTCTCAGTGCCCATTTGTCCCCTCCATGATATTCTGCTTTGCTGGCTCTGGTGCCATTTGTGGAGCACTGGAGCAGCCACTCTGATGTGAACTGTGGCCCAGAAAGCTGAACGAGTCATTCAGCAGCACACAAACAAAACAGATACCTGTCACTGAGTTGCATGTAGTATCACCCAGAGTCTGGGAAGGAGGAAAAATGTGGTTTTACACTACTTCTGTAATGGAGGAAAGGCTTCAGAGAGGGCTGTGTGACTCTGGCAAGTTTCCTTTCCCTGGAAGGGAAGGACTCTAGCAATAGATTGCTTATGTGTCAATAGCAACTATCAGAAACAGGTGCCAAGATTTCAAAAAGCCCATCAAAAAGTATGCCTGTGCAGCTCCACCTTCCCTCAATCTTACTTGACAGGAGCAGTCTTTCTTGTGCGTTTCAGAGCTGGCAATAAGCATCAGGCAATGGCTTGCTACACAAAGGGAATTGCCACACTATCTAGAACAAAAATAAGTGTCTTCCAGGTGCAGCGGGGAGAAAGAACCACAGGGCTGATAAGTTATCAGTAAGGGCAAGGCCTGCAACTGCAGCCAGAGGAGAACCACCATGAGGTGAAGGCTTCATACTAAGTAGCTGGGTAGGGGTTTGGGGATGCCCTGGGGTAAGCCACTACATTTACATTGCCTGCTTTTACAGTAGGAACAGAAAGCAGTAGAACCAGTGATGCTATGGAAATGCCTATGCAGGAGGTGTAGAGGAGAGTACAATGCAGCTTCTGGTAGCATCAAGCAGGCAGAGGCAAGCTAGCTGCCACCAGCTAAACTGGATACATCCAGCACTACACAAGTCACAAGTTTCAGTTCCTCTTAGGCTTGGGCTAGAGATAATTTATTAGACTTTTCTGGATTAAAACCTGACTTGCAGTATAAAAACATCTAACCAGATTTAAAAAACACTGCTTTTTTAAGAACAGATACCTTAAAAATACTGATTATCTAAAAACTCCGAGTGTGACTGGGAGTTAAGGAGGTAAGCGCTTAAAGAAAAAATCTAAAGTTCTTGTCACACCTTCTCTGGGTCGTTTTGCACTAGATCCTGCTGGAGTCTTGGGCTGCTTCTTTGCCTTGGCAGGAGACCTGGAAGCTGCAGCCTTTGGGCTGGGAGCTGCTGCTGGAGCCATGGGAGCACTGGGCTCCAGGAAGGAGCTTTGGAGCTCCAGAGCAAAGTGGTAGTCCATATGCTCTGGGAACTCCCACACCAGCACAAGCTGGCCGCACTTCTCACAGCACTGCTGGTCCCCTGGTGAGGCAGGAGGGAGTAGGGCAAGCTCAGGAGAAGGTGGCAAATTCTGCTCATTTCCCTCCATAGCTGGCTCTAATTTCAGAAGCGTCCTGGAGCTGGGTGGAGTTGAGGGTGTTTGTGTAGCATCAGACAGTGACTTCTCACAGGGAAGCCTCTTGCAAGGAGAAGTAGGGCTCCCATCTCTGGGACTCTGCTTCACAGGGGACTCCAGCTCACACCACACCGAGGCAAGTCCAACGCCATCTCTTTCTTGGTGCTTTGGGGAGCTGGGCACAGGTGACTCCACAGTGGCAGCAGCGGGCAGCCTGGTTGCTGCTGCCATCTGTGACTGCTGCCTTTCTGTTGCCTTTTGGAAGAAAGACTCAATAGCATTAGCCGGCTTCTGCCTAAGCTCTTTCCTTGGGCTCCTGAAGAACTTCACCTTGGCCCTCCAAGAAGATGTGTTTTGGCTGGTGGTGGCAGTGCCGTCAGGCTGGGTCTCACTTGTCAGGAAGGTGGCAATGCCTGCAGAGAGGAGCGTGGCAGGCTCTGAGAATTTGCTTGCTGAAAGAAGCACCAATATGAGTGGTGGAGACCTGCAAAGGACAGACCAACATCAGCTCAGACACCAGCCTGGGAAGCAAAAAGTCTTGTGAGGTAAAACTTAAAGCAACATAAAAAGTTCAAGGACAGAGGAACTGCAGCAAGGGCTGGGAGAGATGTTTCTTCTGACAAAATGTTAGTATTGCTACCTTCAGAACAGTCTCACAGACCTAGCAGGGTGCATTGAGCAGGGCAGAAAGTCTCTTCCCAGAACAGCATTTCCCAAAGGAAAGGGCGCTGGAGCAGAGGCAGCCAACTGCCAGCCTGGACTTTCAGTCCTCCACAGGCCAGAGCTGCTCTGAGACTCCCAGGCAAGGGGAGAGGGCCTTAAGGGAGCAGCAGCCTTGTTGGAGCCTGACAGACAGGACCTTCTTGCCTTAACTATGCCTCAGCCTTCACTGCAGAGCAGGAGGAGGGAAGGAAGGAACGCTGAATATGAGAGCTGTGCGCACCTTAATGTTCCTTCCTGTCCCAATGGCCTCCTCCCAGAAAGCACCTTTGTCCTTAGGAGGAGAGAAAAGCAAGGCCTCGCTAGCTTTTCCAGCCCAGCAGGGCAAGGACAGCCTCACTCCAGCTGGACACCCCCCTGCCAGTAGCAATTACCAGCTCCAAGTACAGCAGTGTCTCACCAGATGTGCATCCAGAAGAGGCCAGGCTATCACAGCTGTCCTAGCGCTAACAAGCATGTGCTGGGGATCACTTTTCCTGACAGTCAGCATAACACTCTCATTCCTTTCTGTCAGGTCCCTGGCTCATCCTGCACCTCCTGTAGCAGAACAACCCCTGACAGGGACGTGAACCACCTCTTCCCACACTCACCAGGCTGCCTGGTGAGCCCCAGCCACATTGCAGTTTTGTATGAGGGCAAAGGCATCATTGCACATCTTCTGGGCATCATAGCGGGTCAGAGCACAAAAGCGTGACACCCGGGTGTCCCCCTGCATGCGGATGGCCACCATCAGCTGCTTGGCCACTCGGTTGTTCTGCAGAGAAAAAAGGGGTAGCTGAGTTTTAAGCAACACCTGCAGGAAAGAACAGGAAGGGTCAAGAAGACCGTCTCGCTGCCCAGAACGCCGTGCTATCAGCTACCACCTCCTGATGATGTCGTGTGACAGATGGAAGCTTGTCCTGCCTGGCCTGATCTCCAAGGGATGACATACAGGACAGCAAGTGCTTGTACAGCTGTGCCACACAGGATGGGAAGCAGTTAGTCCTTGCTTCCCTCCAAAGGCAGCTGCACACCTTTTCTTGCCCCTTCTGCAGTGATGAAGCTAGCAGATTAATCTCACCTGGGCCTGCAGTCTGCCACTAGGATCTGAGCAACTGCTTCCTCTCACAGCCCACAGCACAGCAAGAGCTGCATCAGCAAAGGTCTTGCAAGAGAGCAGCAATGCACCAGGATGAAGGCACAGTGGCTTTCAGGTCCCTGCATCCTAAAGCACAGGACAAGGACGGTCCTTAGCCCTGCAGCATCCTGGGGGAAAGCCATCCTTCCTGAGCAGGCTCCTGCACACCCTTTCGCTCCGGGCACCTCAGCACACATCTGAGGGTGAGTAGATTCCTCCCCCACCACACACCATCCTCAGCCTCCTGTAAACAGCTCATGGTGCAGATGTGCTGCATGGCTTCCTCCTTACCTGGCTCCTGTCCTTGATCAGTCTGGATTCCAGCTCCAAGGCCAGCTGCAGGAGCCAGTGTTGCACCTGGACAAAACAGCAGTAATGGACAGGTTGGGCTTCTGCTTGCAGCACTGCCACCAGGCCAGAGCAACGCTCCATGCATCGGGGAATGCTGGAGGGGGATCAGACTGGAACAGACACAGACTACCACAGGGACCCATATCTGGAACAGTCCTGAAGAAATCAAGCACTTGACTCTTGGCACCATGAATACCTTTTGAACAGCACCAGCACATTTTGCATGTGGAAATCACAACAAGGTTGGACTTCTTTGGGCAGTTTGTCAACGGGGATTTCCCTAATTTCTGGGCCCAAACCACCACCTCCCATCAAGCTTCTAGGCTCAGTTTCAGGGCACAGTGACACAGAAAAGCAGCAGTTTTGCAAGTTAGTCTCAGCTTTTAGTGTTCTCACACTCTCCAGTGTAAAGGCCAAGCCTTGTACTAGCTGTAGGCTTCCCGCACCTCTTTCTGCGTGGCCAGGGCTGTCCTCCCAGGGAAGTTCTTGCTGCAGCCAATGGACTGGGGCAGGGATCGGTTTTTGACAGGTTCCTCTTCGATTCCTCTGCACAAGTCATAGAGCCAGGACCTGAAAGCCACAGAAGCATGAGGTGAAGGCAGCCACACAGCCTTTATAGGAACCTATAAGCCCAGGGACACTCACTGCAGTGTTCCTGCAGGTGCCAGTAGATAATAATTTGCTGCCCAGAGTCCAGGCAGCTGTCACAGCCCTTGTGCTGGCATTCAGCCTCGGCACCAGTGTTAGGCAGTGCTGCACTGCCTCCCTCCCTGCCCTCAGACAGGCACGCAGGCATTGCTAGGCAGCAAGGCAACCTTCTGCTGAGCCATGCTTTCAGCTCTGCACAAGCTGTAACTCTCCCTCTCATCCCCAGCTCTGCAGTTGCAGCCACAGCTGAACAGGCAGGCTCTCTTCAGACCACAACTGCCTGTCAGCATAACTCCTCTGCCTGTTCTCCTGAAGTGGCAACAGTTCACCAGTCTGCAGGGCACCCCAACTGCTGCTCTGGGCCCAGAAGTGGTGTTTCAGGCTCCAGTCCAGCCTTGTAATTTCCTCTGTAATGAGACTGTCAAGCCTGCCTGCTTCCCAGCCTGCAGGGAGCCCTTCCACAGCTTGGCCCCATCCTTAGACACTGTAGAGGAAGGCAAAGGAGCTGTCTGATGGGCAAAATCTTATCCTGGGGAGGGTGCCTGGGGGCACTTGAGACTGGAAACCCATTTGTGAGCCTGCCAGACCAATGCTTCCCAAAGATGTCACTGAAGTTTTACCCTCCAACACTCCTAATCACAGCAGAACAACCTGTCACCAAAAGAAAGTCTCAGTTCCTGCTAAGAGCCAAGTTATGGCAAGTGGTTTATTGTTACCCAGTTTTGTCTCCAAAGTGAGTCTGGAGCTCTGTCTCACTGAACCGTGTCAGCTCCCCGATGTACTCTACTCCCAGGATCTCTGTGATGGCAGTGCCAAGCTTGCCTCCCAGGTTACGGCTATGACAGAGGAAGAAAGAAAACCGGAGAAGCATCTTGTGGAGATTATGCCAAGCTTTTATGCAGCAGCTGCCCCTAGTTAAGGTGTGCTAGAAACAGTCAGAAAATAGAAGGACAAAAGGGAGCACTTGGTGGTATGTAACAGCTCTTCTGCTCATAGTAGGAGGACATATAAGAGTTGAAGTTGCTCCTTGGCTCTTTTCAGTGTTTCTCAGAGTTTCAATGCCTCTCCCTCAGCTCCATCTTCAAAATGTGATCCCAAACCATGATCTAAAGAACACCTCACACACTCCCTGCTTCCTCCTACACAGACAGGACCCTTCCCCACACTCCCCCGCTCCATCCCTAGCGAGACACTGAAGGCAGAGAGCAGCTGTGCAGGTCTGGAGAGCAGGACCAGGCATCCATTCCTCTGGAGCAGCCATGCTGGTAACTCTTCCCCACATCAGCTAAAGTACTTGTGCACAGTGCAGATGTTCAAAACCAAACCACATAGCTGCTCTCTGGGAGCACAGCTATGGCCTCCTTGCCCCCAGCTTACACCTATGCACCCCAGTAGTCATCTTGAGCACAGCTCTACCCAGGGAAAGGCTGCTCACAGGGTGCTAGTGGGCTCCTCCATTGCAGTCCTTTCACTGGCAGGCTGCAGCTTCTCCTGAACTGTCACACACCGCTGCGAGATTACTGGCAGAATTTCCTTTACATTTCTTACAAGCATTGATGAGCAGTTACTGTGGAAGCTGAAAGCCTTTGCTGGCTGCTATTGAATAGCATCAAATTGCTCTCTGTTGAGATGGCCAGGAATAGTTTTTTACCCCTGAGTCACTTTAGTTCTGCTCATGCAAGCAATGGTGACAAACCAACAGGAGCAAATACCACAGCGATGAAGACAAACAGGGCACTCTTCCTGTAAAAGCCTGGATTGCGGAAGCACAGCACTCACATTTCAAATACATGCTCCTGCCACGGCGCAGCTCAGCCTGTGCCCCAAGCTGCACAAAGGCAGGCAAGCTCCCCAGTACTTACATACTGCTGACAGGCAGTTGGCTGAAGAGCTGTGGGACAAATCGTGAAGATACCAGTGTCTGGCGGTTGGGCTTGTTTAACCCACAGGCCAGTTTTGCCAGGGTCTGTAACACAGAAGAGGGTGGAAACCCTGTTATTACAAACTTTGCACTGACTTTACTGTGACTCTACCTAACGGCTTGTGCTCTGCCACATCTAAGGGCTGCCTTTGGAATACCTGCTATATAGGACGTGCAGGTTGCACCGCTGCTGCTCCCAGGTAGCACCCACCTTGGGACTTGGCATGCACTGGCTAGGTGCCCTGAAAGCACCACTGCTTCCAGACTTCTGGCTCTGCAAATAGCTGGACTCCTGCTCCAGGCAGCTTGGGAGATCTGGGTCCGTCACCTGTCCTGGTTGGCTTAGTTTTCCATCAGGCAAGCATGCTAGAGCTTCAAGAGCATCCCCATAATCCTCCCCAGGCTATTTTTCTCTCACTATGCCTTGTTCCTTCATCTTCTGTGTTTGTCTTGGTTTTTTTTCAATGTCACTATTTTAATCTTCTCTCTGTGAGGTCCACAGCAGTATAATGCTGCAAAAGGAAATCTGCAAAATACAGAGTTGCTAGCCTGGAAGGGATGTTCTTTAGCTTCACCCCTATATGGCTTCTCCTTCTGCTCTAATCTACCACAGGATCAAGAATACACAGACCAGCCTGAAATATATATAGCTGGGTGTTTGAGGGTTTTTTAAACAAGTCAAATAACTTTCACTTTCATTGCTTTACCACACATCCTATAACTGAGCAAAATTTATTTCCTGCCTGTTGAGCTATGAACTTCATTAACAACCTCTTTTACAGGCTTACATATGTTCTCACTGCTTTCTAGACAAAATAGATAATTTTCCTTCAAGTTTTCATATGCAGTCATTTTCCAGATGTCTAATTACTGTTATTCTTGTTTCACTGGAGACTCTTCCAAGTTTACCCACACTGTTCATAAAGTGAAGTGCTGCAAGCTGAACCAATCACTGAGACTTCACTGGGAGAAATAATTTACTTTTTCTGACACCTTCTCTAATTTGCACATGCTGAAACAGGATTTGCCATTTCTACAAGAGCATCAATAGTACTGATTCATCCCGTTGTTTGTCTACAGTAACTCCAGGCTACTTCCTGACTTACTGTGACTTAGCCAAAAGCCTGCTGGTTACACTTTTTCTCCCCCTATAAACAACTAAAGCAGTCAGTGAGAGGCATAAGCAGCACTGGTGATTTCAGACTGTTTCTGGGCTTTTCCAAGACCAGACTTTTCAGCTTTAGCTTCATCTTCCAGAACTCTCACAGCCCAGGCCCTTAGCCAAATCTGTGCTTACCATCACCTGAATTCCTGCAGCTGCACCCTCTCTATAGGCTTCACTGAAAATAATGGCTCTTAGTGAGCCTCAGACAGATGCCCCCAGGATCCCACTGTAAACATCCCAATCTGAGGGCAAGTCACTGAACAAAAACAGTATATAAGACAATAGATTTTCTTCAGCTAGATGCATGCCCTTCAGATAACCTCAGTCATGTTGTGTTTTGCTAGGGTATCATCTTCAGCTTACATGACTCAGGGTGAGGTGCATTAGAAACCTTAAGGTCAGCACCTCACAGCTGCAGTTTCCCCTGGACATGAGGCCACTTATGCTGTCAAAGAAGGCACATAAATGAGTTGGGCACAAGTGGTTTGTGATAAAGTCATGTTGTTATCTTCCAGGTGCTTCCAAATAGCTCATTCAATTATTTTGTCTCATCAACCGAATTCCTGGTGTATTCTGAGTTAGCTCACTAGGAAGAAAAGTCCCTCAGGAGAGTTTTCCTTTTAAAAATTTGACCTTAAAGCAGGTAACATTCACCCCGAGTTTTAGGCAACAGTGGCTGTAGCCAGGGAATGTTTTTTTCTGACACAAATTCCCAGCAACTTGGAGGAAGAACACCACCAGTTTGGTGGCACTGAGTGGGGTTGCTTTTGCTCTTTCTTGTCCATCAGTCTTTGCCCCATGTTGGGTGATGCTCAGCCAGCTGCTGAGGGCAGCCGCGGGAGCACTTCATGTGTGACAGCAGCTGCAGAAACAAACGGACTTTGATGCTGCAGCCAGAGAGGGTTTCCTGCTGGGTGAAGTGCAGGGCAGTTTACTGAGAGCACCGAGCACTCATTTCATTCTTTGCAGAAAAAGTTTGTACCCACAGAGGTGAGCTGGCTGTGCAAGCACTGCAGCATGTTCTGCACAGCCACATGTAGACTCTGGTGATCTCTGCATTACGCTTGCTGGTATAGAGAGTTCTTCAGGGATAGCACAATACATCACAATTTCCTTACTCTCTTTAAAAAAAAAAAAAACATGCTGGCATAGAAAGTGGAAGCTGGGAGAAGCTGCTAGGGATAGCAGGGATGCTCTCTGTTATTCTTGATTAAAGAAAGCAAAAGGCAAATCAAAAATCACTTCCACTGGAAATTTCTCCACCAGTGATCTTCCTCAGCTAGCTCATTTCTGCCTCCCAGTCCACTGGTTTGAAGGTGAGCTGGTGCAGAACTAACTCCAGTACCTGTGTATAGCTGGCAACAGTTACAGTTGTTTCGGCAGCAGTCTAAGCTGAAATTTATCTTCCTTAAGTTCCAAAGCATCCATTTAGTCTTTATCCTTCTCTTTTTTCAGTCAGAACCTGCATTTTTAAAATCACTATTTTACAGATAAGCCCCTTTTGCAAAGAATGAAACGAGTGCTCAGTGCTCTCAGTAAACTGCCCTGCACTTCACCCAGCAGGAAACCCTCTCTGGCTGCAGCATCAAAGTCCGTTTGTTTCTGCAGCTGCTGTCACACATGAAGTGCTCCCGCGGCTGCCCTCAGCAGCTGGCTGAGCATCACCCAACGTGTGGCAAAGACTGGTGGACCAGAAAGAGCAAAAGCAACCCCACTCAGTGCCACCAAACTGGTGGTGGTCTTCCTCCAAGTTGCTGGGAATTTGTGTCAGTAAAAGCCAATCTCTGGCTACAGCCACTGTTGTTTAAAACTTAGGATGGAGGTTTTCTGCTTTAAGCTCTCATTTTTTTCCTGAGGAAAACTCTCCTGGGGGGCTTAAGACCCCTTTCTTCCTAGTGAGCAACCTCATTAGGGTACACCAGGAACCCAAGCAGCAAACTGAGTGGTGACTGCATATGCCACATCTCTAGAGAAAAAAATTCTCCCCTTCCCAGATATCCCATAATTTCCCTGAAGGTGTGCTCTCATGTGGCTGCATT